CTCCACCTCGAAGGTACGATGTTCTCATCAAAACAGCGCTGAAAAAATGCAGCTAGTGGTTCGGCCAAGTGGATGGCAGCTACCTGTAATGTTTTCGGGTGAATGTTATCGGCCCCGGGAGAGCTGGGTAGACGCAAGGATAGCAGCTTTTGCAGCACCATTTCTGCAGTGAACGCGACGTTGGATAAAACGGACGGAGGAGTAACTGGTGGCGAAATATACGTCGACGCTTGTACACCTTGGAAGATTGGGGAGTACTGGGCCCGTAATGCGTTGGCCGTCTCCTTCGCAGTATGTGTGTACCCACTGGTCGTATTAAGTGGTGGGATTCCCCGTTGCACCTTGCGAAGTCCCTTCACATGTTTGTAAAGAAGCTTTTGTTCGAACAGAATCGTTCGGCTAGCTCCTGCTGGTGCGTTCTCTTGTCTTCGCCAAGCAAAAGCACGCAGTAGTTGCGATGCGAAACGTATTCCGTCCAGTTTCTGTGCTGGGGTTGCTTTTATACATGCGCCATGCCCGATCCCTTAGAGTCATACATTTTCGCGTCCGGCTTCGCAAGAAAGATTTTGCTGTGTGGGGATGTTGGGAAATTTTGGGATTGAGTCTTCTATGACTAGTGTCGTGATGGTGTTCGCAAATGTGTCCCAGGCTAGTTCTGGGTGCAGTTAGCTAGAAACGTCCAACTGGTATTCTCAACTAGCGCAGACAGAACGTGGTAATGGTTAACAGATCGCCTCGTTTCGAGCTCCGCAGCTGAATATTCGGCGTAGCAGATGTAATCGAACTGCAAAGTCACGTGATCGCTACGGCCCAAAGGACTGCACACCTTTAGTCCATCGACCATGAGCTCTTCGTTAGTGAGAACTAGATCTAATATCGATGGGTTGTTTACTGTTCTGAACCTGGTTGGAACGGTGACGTGGTTATACAAGAAGGTGCTAGAGAGTAGCTATTGCAAATATGCCTTGAGCACTTCTGTCTCGGATGCTGGATTTTCCAAGTCATGGGTGTTGAAATCTCCTGCAACGAGGATGTGGCTGTACTTCTGATTAAGCACGGAGCGAAAAGCGGAGATAAATCTGTTGTCCCTTTCCGGAGCGGATTTCGGTGGTCGGTAAACCACAGAGAGAAGGCATACGTTGTTGCCTTCCAACCACAGTTTGCACCAAAGGACGTCGGTGATACAAGTCTGGGGATCGTCTATGAGCTCACAACTAAGGTACGTTCAGAAATAAATGAGCACGCCAACTCCCTTGCCCGTTCTGTCGCTCCGGAGAAGTGACATGCCCGGTATGGCAATCTCAACGTCTGTGATTTCGCCGCTCAACCAGGTTTCGGCGATCATTATGATGTTTCGAGGCTCCGAAGCCAAGCGGTGACGGAGTTCTACCAACTTACTTAGGAGGCCTGTGCATTAGTATACATGCAGGATAGTGCTTTTGTAACCAAGAGTGAGCTAGCACGGGTTGTGGTAGGAATGAAGTTTGTGCCGACCGTTAACGGGTCGGCCATTAACCGCTTTTTGTGGTGACGTTTGCCTTTGAGTTTGCTTTCGGTTAGAAGACTGATGGCGGCCTTCCGGGCCCTGCTGGTACCCCGCGTTCAGCCGTGTTTCGTGGCATATTGTGGTTGTCGATAAATCTATGCCTTCACAAAGTTGCACGAGTTGCTCTCGTTTTCAGAGTACGGAATTACAATTTCCGTGACATTGTGCTGGTACCCCCTACCCCACCACACGGGCTATAAGTGGTGACTTTCGGTTGTGGCGCCTGCGAGAAACCAGCCCCTGCTTCCACCAGCGGGAGCACTTGGTTAACGTGGGTTTCCGGTGAATTTCTGCTGGTCGAAGAACTGTTGCGGATCCCTACCCGGGTAGCGGCACCGGAGGAGGACGCATCCACTTGTTGGAAGATAGGCAGGTCCTCCCAGGATAACCGTTGTAATTGTTCAACGTTGGATGATTGGGTGAACACCTCCACATTACTCTGAGTAGCCATCAGCCCACGTATGCATGCCACAACACCAATTGTGCGGTAGAACGCCTCCGTGCCTATACTCAATACATGCGCCTCCAAGCCAGCAAACATATCCCGAGTGATGCGAATTTTGGCGGCCCGGTCAATGACCCATCACGACTGAATCACATCTGCGCAACCGTCACGGTTCCTTCACTTTCCTCCGAAA